TGACGTTTTTAAGTAAATTTTAAGTTTAATTTTATTTATTTATTTTCTTTAGTTAAATTTTGTTAATTTGCTTGTTGTTTTCTGTCTTTTATTTATGAGTTGCAGTGTTGTTGGAGGGACTTTCCGGCATAAGAGTCAAAGTAACAGCACTTGGCATCAAACGTGCCTTTCCTGTTCCTCCCGGTGCATTTATAAAATCTTCTGCTTTAAAATATTTAACGCACAGCAAGGCATTTCGCTGCAGCTCTGCCCCATATCTGCTTTCGCAACGCTCCTTACGCGAAGGACATTGAGGCATGTTAAAAAAATTAGTGGTATCTGATTTATATTTAACACCACATAAAAACAACGCTTCAGCTGTTGCATTTTTAACACATACACTAAGTATAAACCGCACAACACTACAAAAATTCAAATGTTAATTAAAATTTGTTTTTAACGAGCATTCAAAAAAATCAAACGACATGTCATTTAAAGCGTAACGAAATATAGGAAATAAAAGAAAACCAAGTTTAAAGGTTTGGTTCTCATGAGAGCAACGTCATTTTTGCTTCTACCTGTATTTATGTGCCTTGAATCTAAGAAACAGAAAATGCTTTAAAACGCCAGAGTTCTTCTTTTTAACAATATTTTGGTACATAAATAAATAGTCAAAGAATTCAATACGTTCCTCTGTTTGCGCCAGGAAACAAACTTTGTACTTAAGATCAAGGTATATTCAACAAGGTAGAAGTGACAACTCAGTCAAGCTCTCTCATAGCTGACTGTAATGTCAAAAAATGTAAACAAAGAAATTAACCCTTTGTTATGCATGTACCAAATTTTATCATTAGTGTTCGCGGAGCATTTGCCCTGAAGGAAACATTGGTCCAGTTGCTCAAAAAATATAGTCGTAGGTGTAGTAGTTTTGTATCAATGTCATGCAGTAGCGCACAACGGGTAGAATTAACGATTTACTGATATGTAGGCACTAAGGGCCGGTTGTTCAATGTCTGGTTATCACTACCACTACACTATCGACGATTTCGACATCATGCATGTAACATGTGATCGATAAAGCAGTAGTTGTGCTTAACCGGAGCTTCTACCTCCGATTTGTGCTAATCAGACATTGAACAACCGGCCCT